TTGGCTCCGATGGTGATCCCAGATCCTGGAATCGAGTCCCGCAGCGGGCTCCCGCTTCTCCCTCTGCCTGCTTCTCTGCCTCTCTCTGTGTGTCTGTCATGAATGGATAAATAAAGCCTTTAGAGGGGAATAAAGGATTTGCCCTTTTGACACCAAAGACATACGAAATGACAGAGAACCTAAACACGGGGGGGGGGGGGTACAGCGGCGCGCAGCAGCGACTTCCCTAAATTGGAAGATTTCCAAAAAATAGAGGGTGGAGGCCCTTGGTCAAGGCCGGAAGGGGTAGGGCGTGGGGGGTATTGTGACATGCCCCAGGGAAGGGCAGCCTGTCCCGGGGCCCACCGAGGCCCGGGCCCAGAGGGGCAAGAGAGCCGGACCCGACATGGAGCCTGGGGACGGGTCCTCCGGGGCCGAGTCGCCGCAACAGGCCCGGGCCCAGTGCCTCGAGGGCCACGGCCAGATGCTGCTGTTCGGCGAGCTCTGGAAGCAGGAGTGCGGCCTGCAGGACGTTCTGGAGCAGGCCCCGGCCCATCCTTGCGGCAGGCCCTCGTGCACCCGAGCCTCGAGCGGCCACAGCAGCTCCAGCAACTGCGCCCCGCGGCGGCCCAAGCGCCCGGGCCACAGCCTGCGGAACGGCGCCGACTGCCCGGCCGCCAAGTCCCGGCGCTGCACCCAGACGACGCCCGGCGACAGGTGCAAGGCTGCGGACTCGCACGAGCGCCCGGCGGCTTCGGCTCGGGCTGCGGGCGCGCCCTCGGGCCCCGAGGAGGCGGAGGAGGCGGAGGAGGCGGGGGAGGCGGGGGAGGCGGGGGAGGCGGAGGAGGCGGAGGAGGCGGAGGAGGCGGAGGAGGCGGCGTCCGGCTGCTGCAGGGGTCCCCGCCCGCCGCCCGCGCGCCCCTCGCGCCCCTCGCGCCCCTCGCGGCTGCTCCTGGTGCTGTGCCGCGCGTCCGCGCTGCGCTCCGACCTGCCCCGGCTGCAGCTGCTCCTGCAGCAGGTGCACGCGCGGCGCCGCCCGGCGCCCGCCGCGCTCGTGGGGATCGTGGTGCAGCCGCGGCCCGAGGAGGAGGCCGAGGCGCGCCGCCGCATGGAGACCCTGCTCTGCAGCGCCTTCGCGCCGCACAGCCCCTCGGTGGAGGTGCACACCGCCCTGTTCCGCCCCGGCCGCTCCGAGGGCACCCTGGACGTCCAGCGCGCCCCCAGCCGAGCGCGCCAGGCCCGGGCGCGGGGCTGCGGCGCCCTAGTGGATCAGGAGACGCAGACGGCTGGTGAGGGGCCCGAGGGCGGGCGGGTGAGACACTGCAGGGACGGAGGGGGTGCCGGGCTGGTCCAGGGTCTCGGGGACAGATCCCCCAGGCCACCGTCCCTCTCCTCGCGCTCCCACTTTACCCCGTGTGGGGTGAAGACTAATTAGAGTTCGCACCCCACGTGTGCTCACTGGGGCGGCCTCTGGTCACAAATGTTCACATTTATTTAGTTGGTACAGTTACACTTCCCGCCCATCCTCCTAGCTAGCTCCTTTCCCCTCCATCACACTCTGGCAACCTATGGATTTGGGAGGTTGAGAGACCCAGGCCCTCTCCCCATCCACTTATCCCTTGCGTGGTTCTGTAGGCTCCTCCTCCAAGGGAATCAGAATTTACAATAAAGACCTGCCTGTTGTGAGGCAGGCACTGTTTTGAGGGTTTTTCATGTCTGATCCTCGCAGCCATGCTCTGGAGGAGATGCTGTGTCAGAGTAGCTGGCCAAATGCAAAATTCTTACTCAGCCCTTGAGAGCTTTTCTATCAAGGAATCCAGGCCTGTGGCCCCAGAGGGTTGGTGTGTGAGTCCAAGGCCCTGGACACTGGGCTCTGGGATGAGCACCAGTTACTTGGAAGTCCCCTCCAGAGGCAGCAGCAGGGAAGAAGGAAGTGCTCCAGGCAGGGAGTTCCAACACCCAGTTGGTCACCTACTGGTGACCAGAGCAGGCTGTCCCCTCGGAGGGCTAGTTACCCTTCCTGACATGACAAGAGCCAGTTGGCGTGTGAGGTGTCCTCCAGCTATAAGATGCGGGCTTCAGTACCAATGTCAGCAGGCTTGCTGTGGTGCCAGAGGGCCAGAACCACTGAGTGTGCATTTTCACACCCTCAGAACCTTACCCTGACTTGGCATCCCCTTAGACTCCATCTTCTCACTTTCCCAAATGGCACTCGAGGTTGTCCCGTGGCTGCCATGCCAAGTAGGAGAGCCCCTTGCCCCTGGACTGTTCTGTAATCCTCAGCCTGGGCCAGAAAACCACAGGCCCTTTTGGAAAATAACCCCTTCAGGAGATGCTGTCTGTGAGGTGCCTTGGCCTTCATCATCCATGCTCAGTCTGCCTTCCGTGGTTTCCTGCTACCTTTGTCCTCTTATCCTCAACTTCCAGAAGCTCCTATGGAGCCTCTTCTCTGGACTTTGGCCCTCCAGGGTCCTTCCAGCCTGGAAGTAGGGAAGTCGGGAGGAGAGAAGAAACAGGGTTTTAACACCATGCAGCCTATGACCTGAGGCTCGGAGAGGGAGGGGTCACTTCCAGTTGGGGATCTCGAGAAAGGTGTATGAGGAGGTGGGTTCACTTGAGATGGATCTTGATGATGGATATGTTTTGACAGAGAGGGAGATGGGCCTGATAGGGAGGAAAGGCTTTCACAAATGCAGGAAAGCAGACTTCCATGCTCATGGCTGGCAGGAACCGGACAGGTGGCAGCGAGGTGGTCAGTGGGCCTGGGACACTGGTCTGTGACTGTTACACATGAGTCGGACTTCCAGCTAGGGACTTGTGCTCCAGCTGGAAGGCCATGGAAAACCTTCTAGTAAAGTATTGCAGTCCCATTCTTCCTCATCCCTCTGGGGCAACCTCTCACTTCATGGGTGCCCTCTCCTAGCTTCTTGGGACCACCCTTCTAAAGAACCCACCCATATTTTCTCCACTGCCATAGAAAGACTCCCCGCTCCTCCCGAAGCCTGACCTTCTATGTTTCCCCCATCGCCCTCCCCGGACACAGGGACCTGCTTTCTGTGCCATTTGGCTCCTTGGTGTGAAAATGGCACATTTCTTTCATCGCTAACAGGAAATACTACCCATGTGTGTTCACCCTTTATCTAATTCATCTAAACCAGTGATTCTCAGCCAGGGGCAATTTTCACACATACACACACACACACACACACACACACACACACCCTCACACACACCCCAGAGACATTTAGCATTGGTTGCCACAACTGGGGGAGGGGGCCAGGTAATTGCTACCGGCATCTCATGACAAAGGCCAGGGATGCTGCTAAACTTCCTAAAATGCACAGGAGAATTATCTGGCTCAAACGGCAAAGATTTATCTGGCCCCAAATGTCGACAGAGCTGAGGTTTAGAACCTCTGGTTTAAATCAGGTTGAAGCCCCAGGCAAAAACCCACTGGTGTTTGAAAATCTAATTTTGCAGAGATACATGCCTGAGGAGTTCCTGACCTGTCTGCTAAATCTGGACAGGGTCCCTGACCTGGGTTTCCAGTCTCTCTGATTCTAAGTCGAATCACCCAGAGGGACCCATTGCTCTTGACTTTAGAGAATTACCACCTTCGTTAGACTCACCTGTTCCTTGAACCAAATTTACAGCTTTTATTGATCTGAACTGTCTTCCACTTCTAATCCTTGGTGCCTCTTTTTTTTATTCAATCTTCTCACTCAAGGGAATTTTTTTTTCCCATTGATTTGTAAGGCCTGTGTAATGATCTGATTCCCTCTTGCCTTCTGGAATCAGGAAATGAAGGAGCCTTGAATGAGAATTTAGCCCTGTCGATACTTCCACCCAGCCCTGTGATCTTGGAAGGTGACTTAACTTCTCTAAACCCCAGTTTATCTTCTGCAAAAAGAGAATCATTAAGGTCTTTTCAGACTCTAGAATCCCTAATATATTTTTCTGTCTTTTCACATCTCATATCAGATCTGGCCTCGTGTGGAAGTGTCTTCTAGCTATATCTGCCCTAAACCCTATCCTGGGGCAAGAGCATCACCCCCCAGGAGCATGGGGTTAACAGCTAAACATTCACCCACCTCGTGATGCGTTAATGGCAGGTGTAGAGTCTTCTAACGTGAACACATTCTGCATTGTAGTCACAGTGTGACGTTTAGGGTTGTCTTTTTAAAATGCCTTATCCGCTTCCATCCTAAAAGGAAAATCATGTTTAACTTCCAGGAATATTCACAGTCCCCTCATTGACCCGACAGAGTTTGAGGTTTGAGAGGTAATTGGTTGTTGCCAGCGAATGAGTTCAAAGAAAGTGCAGTTTTCCAAACAAAACCGTTACGTTTTATAGGGGAAATTCTTTGGCCAAAAGCAAGGTTCTTATCAGGGTGGGGGTCCCCAGCCCCTTCCCGGGGTGAGGAGGGCAGATTTTGGAGAAAGGGAGAAGCCACTTTAAGATCATCTGAATGGGGGCAAAGCTGAGATGGGATAAGCCTGTGGACGTCCCATGGACCCCCGAATCTTCAGTAAAATTACCAAAACTCACAGACTGCATGGTGAAGTGGTTTGTTTGTTTTTGGTATGTGGAGCCTGGTGACATTGCTGAGCGTCCCAGCCAGGGTGTCTGAGAGCCACACAGAGAGCGCATAGGGACCCAGGAACACAGCAGCGGAGGTACCTGAAAGGAGGTGCTCTGGTCACAGAATCACAGGGCCAGGGTGTCACAGGCCCCGTGGCCAGGCTGAACCAGGTCCCTGAGGGCCCCGCGGCTGCCTTCCACCCATCCCAGTAACTGGGGGGAGGCAGGACTGGCAGGCTGCTGTGGGCTGAGAAGAGCCCTGCCATAGGAACCACCTGGCTTATTGTGACCTCACAGGAGGGGTGGAGGTGACTATTCTCTGTAGGTCCATCCCTTGGCCAGAGCCTTCCCCCAGGGCAGGGGCAAACGGCCCCTCTAGGAGGGAGCCGGAAGTTTAGGCAGCTCCATGTAGGTCCACGTTTAGGTGAAGAGAACCACCATGAGGAAGGGCAAAAGGAAGAAGCCAGAGTCTAGACGCCGTGGCTCCACCCCACAGCAGGCCAGCTCCGAGGCCACCCCACAGCAGGCCAGTTCCGAGGCCACCCCACAGCAGGCCAGCTCCGAGGCCATCCCGCTGCACACCAGCTCTGAGTCCACCTCGCAGCAGCCCAGCCCGGGATCCACCCCACAGCCCAGCTCTGAATCCACCCCCCAACCGCCTGCACCCCAGGCTGTCCCAGCTCCCGAAACCAACCCCCCCACCCTGAGCCTGGTGCCTCAGGACACTAACACAAAAGCATCCTCTCGATCCAGGAAAACAGGTGGGCAAACTTCTAACTCAAGAACTTCTGGCCTTCCTGCTGATGGACCCCCAGGGTCCACTAGAAGCTGAGTCATTTCGGGTAGCAGTCCATGGTTGGCGTGTATTCTGGAACGGTGCTTGTTGAAGTGTGACGGTTTGGGTGTTTGTTTTTACCCAGGAGACCAGGATTCCTGGGCTTTGCCATTCCTCACCACCCTGAGGCCCAATGAAGAAGGCAGCCGCACATACATATTGACATTCACTTGGCTCAGTGGTGATACTTGCTTATTAGGAGTCAGAAGTGCCATGTGCTGTTCAAAAATAAAAACCAAGGATGTATTAATAGAAGTTATACAGTTTAGGACAAGGGAGGTGATCATACTCTGTCCTCATTAGGCTATCCTTGAGTCCTGTAAAAGATGCCTAGCAACCCAGTCCAAAGTAGATAATCCCAAGAAGATAATGGGGGATGAAGGGGTGAGAAAACAAGAACCATTTGATGTATAAGATTTGGTTGAAGGAACTGGAGGAAATCTGTCAAGTAAAAGATGCGTGTAGACTCGTGGCATGTTGCCCTCAGATGTCTAAGGGTTGCCAGATAAAATATAGGACACTCAGTAAAATTTGAATTTCAGATAAGCAACAAATACTTTTTTAGTGTAACTGTGTCCCAAATATTGCCTGGGCATTCTGTATTTTTATCGCTAACTCTGGCAGCCTTACCCATGGAAGACACTATAGACAGGCAGGTTTCTTTCTGCTCAACATGAAGACGTTTCCAACAATTAGCTCTGTCTGAAAATGGAATGGCTGTCTAGGGAATGTGGTCCTCCATCTTCTCAGGTAGCCAGAGTCTGAATGAGCATTGGATTGTGTAGAGGGAATGAATTCAAGTCGAGTTCGGGAGATGGGCTGGGTAATATTACTATTACTAATAATAATAATAATGGTAGTAACTAACAGTTATCACTGAGCACTTACCACATACCTAGCATTCAGCTCAGCTATCTGTGTGAATCTTCCTTAACAGTCCTACAAAGGAGGTGTTATCATCATGCTCTCCCTTTTATAGATGGGGAAACTGAGGTTCAAAGAAATCAAACAATACACTCTCAAGCAGACACTGGTAGCCCCGAAAGGGGGACTTCCATCTATTCTGACTCCATAATCCTCATTCTTAACTGCAGCATTGATCTTCTCGTCCCAAGAGTCCAGTGGTTTCCCCAAGAGGAAGAACACCCTTCTCCAAGCTTCTCTTGGCTTCACCGTGAGCCAATACCAATAGCTCTATGGTCCTAAGCAGGCCACACTCTCTGGGCCACAGCAAATTCCTCGGGGATGGTGTGGATGGAAACTGAATGTGAGGTGTGAATGAGAGAGCTAGCTCCAAGCAGTCGCTGGGACAATGGAATCTCCGTGGCTAAGAATCAATTCGTTCTTAACATGTAGAAACAGTTTTGAGTGTTACATATTGCATATATTGTGATCATCAACCACTGGGGTAAACATTTCTGGATTACGGCCTTCAGAACTGATATCTGTAGAAAGCAAAATGCTCCATCCCCACATCTGTTGAGGAATGCGTGTGGCTCATTCCTGGTGAGGAATTCTGCTTATTGGGAAGGCCAAGCAGAAGACAGTGATGGCCTGCCCATGGCGACCATGGACACCCTGCATTTCTGCCAGAGGAATCTTCTCCTTTAGAGCCAGACTGGGGGGAAAAATGTTGGTGATAAGGAATGAAGGCCTGTACGTAAGGGCACCATTTTCTAAAATTCAAATCTTTTATTTCTCAAGATTTTATTTATTTATTTATTTATTTATTTATTTACTTACTTACTTACTTATTTGCTTGTTTGTTTGTTTGTTTGTTTGAGTTGGGGAGGGACAGAGGGAGAATCTCAAGCAGACTCCACACCAAGCCTGACGTGGGCCTCAATCCCACGACCCCGAGATCATGACCTGAGCTGAAATCAAGAGTTGGACGCTCAACCGACTGAGCCACCCAGGTGCTCCTAAAATCCAAATCTTTTTGTACGCAGAAAACACTGTAGTTCGGAAAGTACAACCCTTGGCCTAAAATGACTGTAATCAAAACATGGATGATAACAAGTGTTAGGGGAAGTTATGGGGAAACTGGAACCCGCATCCAAGGCTGGAGACAATGTGGAATGGTGCAGCCGCTGTGGGAAACGATCTGGCAGTTCCTCAGAGGGTCACATGTGAGGTTACTGTATGATCCAGCAATTCCACTGCTGGGGACTTACCGAGAGAATTAGAAGCAAACATCCATACAAAACCTTGTACGTTCACAGTGGTGTTAGTAGTGATAGCCAAGAGGCAGAATAGACTCCCTCTCAACCACCCAATGAATGGATAAACAACGTGTGGTGTGTCCGTGCAATGAAATACCATCTGGCAATAGTGACACATGCTACAATGCCAGTGAGCCTCAGACACATTAGGCTAAGTGAAAGAAGCTCACCCCCCTCCAAAGCCCACATGTTGCATATGATTCCATGTATAAAATGTGCAGAAGAGGCAAATCCATTGCCAGGAACTGGGGAAGGGCGGGGAAAGGCAGTGACCTCTAAAGGGCCTTGGGATTTCCTTGTGTAGGGGAGGAGAGAAGAGAATATTCTGGAATTAGACAGTAATGATGGTTTTTACACCTTTGTTAATATACCAAAAACCATTTTAAAGGGTAAATTTTATGATACAGGAGTTAAATGTCCATTTAAAACAATTGTTTTAACAACAACAACAACAAAAATATAAGTCTTGCCTGTTAGAATCCCTTCCTTCCCCATATTCCAGAAGTATCTGTGGTGGGCAGGTCTACAGAGGAAGCGTGCAGCAGCAGCCAGGTCGGTCACTGGCCTCATGGAGCTGACGCTGGAAGAACGTGTAGCTGTGTCAAGAAGCCAGGACTGAAGTCGTTCCAGGAGGAGGGCACTACCCAGCCAGAAGTCGCCTGTTCCGGCACCACCTCTGTCCCACTGGGGTCCTCAGCAGAGGACAAAGGGGAGAGAAGTTTAGGAAAGGGGTTCAAGGACTGTAAATCGGAGTAGCAGCCATCTGCTAGATAAATCAATGAAAATAACGAAATAATCAGCAAAAATAAATCCAGAAAAATGGAACATGTTCCAGCTGCAGGCCACCTGTCGCACCACTGTCCTTGTTTGGGAATTCCAACGGGGGCAGCACCAGATGAGTTAGAACCCCTAACTTGGGGTGAAGGTGAAGCCCTACTTCTTCAATCTCTTTGTTCTAAGGGCACATCCGGGGTTCTATGAGCCTCGGGTTCCCCATTTGTAAACTGAGAATAACCATGTTCCCCTTGGCAGGACTGTCCCGAGGCGGAGAAGGATGTGAGGGAGGGACAGCGAGCAGGTGCACGCCGCGAGGGCCAGCTTTCTGAAATGCCCTCCAGTCTCTGAAACAAGCAGGTCCCCGTGCTGCTAGCCTTCTCCCCCGAGCCTCCCGAGGGGCTCCCGGAGGCAGGGCGTCCCTCACGTCTCTCCTTCTCTGTCCATCCAGGGTCTCTGACTCGTGCGGGCCCGCGGGCCTTCTGTTCCTGTTCTTCTTGCCCTGGCAGCTCTGCTTGCTGGCGTCGCCTGGGCCTGTGTCACAGCCGCATCTTTGATGTCCTCCTTCCTCGGGCCTGGCCTACCATGCCAGGGAGAGGATCCCCAAGCCTCCTCACTTTCTACAGGTTCTGGAGCGCGTGGGGGGCTGGGCCCTCAGGGCTGCTCAGTTCCCGGGTCCGGCTCTGCCCTGGACCATATTAGCAGCCACTTCTCCCTGGGACTCCCAGGCGGGAAGGAAGCCTCTCTGGGGTGGCCACTTCCTGGGGTTTGGCGCCCTGCCCTTTCTGACCAGGCCCGTGCCCCAGGGCTCCCCACCTGCACAGGGAGGTGCCAGGTTTCTTCCTTACCTGGGAATTGCTTGGTTAGGAGGCTCATTTATCTCTTCTCCATAGTCACACTCCTTCACTCCCAGTGCTTGGTCAAGTCCCTGTCACTCAGGGCTTTGTGATCGAATGCTCTGTTTGGCCACCGGCCTCCTCTCATGACCCATACCAGAGCTGAGAGCCTCAGGTTCTTGACTTGCCTATGAATTTCCCTCAGAATTTTTTTAAAGATTTTATTTTATTTATTCATGAGAGTCACAGAGAGAGAGAGGCAGAGACACAGGCAGAGGGAGAAGCAGGCTCCCTGCGGGGAGACTGATGCAGGACTCGATCCCAGAACCCTGGAATCATGACCTGAGCAAAGGCAGACGTTCAACCACCGAGCCACTCAGGTGTCCCTTTCCCTCAGAATTTAGTAATAAACAATGATTGCAGCTCACATGGCCCATTGGTAATAGCAAGACCGCCCTTCAGAGGGTTTCACGCTCTTTCTGGCAGTCTCCACAGGGGACATGACCCCCGGGCTGGCCTGTGTGTAGCAGGGCAGGCTCCCACAGCATCATCCACAGCACCCACCCACCCTTTCCTCTCCCATGAAGCCATCAGGTGAAAGCCACCTGGCGGCGGCTGCTTCCAGTCACAGGAAGACACCCGTGCAGAAAACCAGACCAAAGATGCCAGTCGGCTTTCCCAGTGATGCAGTGCTATATGCCTCCATCTGCCCCCCAGCCCCAGGCCCCAGAGTACCTGCACCTGTACTCAGGGTCTCACCAGTGTCCACGAAGAGACTTCCCACTTGGGCATCTCATACCCCTAACCCAGGAGCAGAGCCCACCCACCCCTCACCCTCGTCCTGCTCCTCTTCCTAGGTCTCTCCCCCCACCATACCCCCTCCCCATCCTTGAAAAGCACCATGTCTCAGACATAAGAGAGGCAAACAGATACCCAAGTGTGTTAGGAGGACATGTGTAGAGCTAAAAGCACAATCCGGTAAGTGCCATCAAGGAACAACCTGCCCGCCACTCACCTTTACTGACTTTCCTCCCACACGCTTAGTATTTCTGTCCATCTGGTGTCGAGCCAGGCCACGGATTCGTATCACCTAAAGACCAACAGGTGGGAACACCTATTCTGCATAGAATACTAGGCGCTGTGAGGAAAACCAGAACACGGAACTTGACCCCTTAAAATCATACAGTCTATGTGGTTAGTGGAGGCATGTGCATTTAGAAACTAGGGTGGAGGGCAGCCCAGGTGGCTCAGCGGTTTAGCGCCTGCCTTTGGCCCAGGGTGCGATCCTGGAGTCCTGGGATCGAGTCCCACGTCGGGCTCCCGGCATGGAGCCTGCTTCTCCCTCTGCCTGTGTCTCTGCCTCTCTCTCTCTCATGAATAAATAAATAAAATCTTAAAAAAGAAAGAAAGAAAGAAAGAAAGAAAGAAAGAAAGAAAGAAAGAAAGAAAGAAAGACAAACTAGGATGGAAGCCGGAAATTGACCTCTATCCCATAGATGTTCAATGAGCTGCAGAAATAGAGTGCTCACTCCCAAGTCGGGGCCCAGGGAGACTTTGGGTACTGCGGTGAGTCTAAAGGTATCTTGGGATCTTTCGTGGCTTAAAATTAAAAAGAGCACTCTAGGTGGAGGGAAAGGTAAAAGCAAGGAGGCTCGGAATTAGGGAAGTGAGGGGAAAGAGCAGAGATGCCGTCTGGCCAGGGAAGCCCTGTAGTCTTCATTCTGCTCAAATCATAGCGCCAGCTTCCATAATCTTTCCATTTCCCGGTGGCGTGGAATGTGGGATCTTGACTTTAAATACACATTCACATTAAGTACGATGCCCTAGTTTAGCAGGATCGTTGTCAAATGGACATTGCGTTTTGGGAGAGCCTTCCTCACAATTTTTAGCATGATGGTACGTTTTCCTTGCCTGTGTGGTGAGTGTCACATGTGGTGTCCTCAGCTCTTCATCTCCAGAATGGAGCCACACGATAGAACCTACTTCTCAGGGTAGTTGTAAGGCTTGAGGGAGACGCAGGGTGTGAGATGTCGAGCACGGGGCCTGGCACACCTCGGCCTTCACCACTTCCCAGCTCTGCTCCCTGAGCGTCCGAGGAAGCTGGCATCCCAGGCTTGCCCGTTTTCAAGTGCAGGGGGCCTTGTGGCAGGGATTTATTGGACGGGATGGGCAGAGCTGTATTCCCTTGAGAGGAGGATCAGTACCTGGGGAGATGGGCATTCCTGGAATCCTGAGGGGACCCTCCCATTTCTGACTCCTCTGTCTGTAGACAGGCACCAGAGTCCCAACTTCCTCCAACCTGTGGGCTTTCTGTTTTGCTCTACAGAAAACCTACAAGAAAACACTCAAGTCATCGTAATTCGCGTGCTCCGAGCTCTCGGGACTGCTGCTGTGGCTCTGGGGGCCCTAGGAGCTGCCTATTACATCATTGAATCCTTGTGAATACACCCCCCAGGCCCGTAGTCCGGCAGGTACGTGGACGGCCTCTGTGCCCACTCTCGCCCTTGCAGAGAGAACCCCAGGCCCACTGGGTCACCTCGCCAGCAGCACAGGGCTCAGGGCGTGTCTGTCCCTTCTCTGAATAGAGGTGGAATTTATGGGTGGACCAAGCCCCCAGGCTCTCAGGGGAAGCTTAAGAAATGAGTGACTTCCTGGCCTCAGGGTCATCTGGCAATGCTCCCTCAAGCAGCCCTGACACTCTTGGATAATGCTGGTCCCATTATTGGGATTGTCAAATCAGAGTTCCCCCAACCCCTCTGGTCACAGATACCAGAAAGGAAGAGGCAGGAGAGCTGGCACAGAGGTTCTTACCCCTCTTAGGGACTTTCCTTGGAACTTTCTCCCTGCCAAGAAAACTTTCCCTTCTGAAGTGCTACTTGTCCTTTTTGACCTGGTCCCATTTCTTCCATAAGCTTCAACCCCGCTCCACTGCAGCTCCAGTGATTTCTTCCATCTTTTTAACACTGTTTTCTCCAGCCTATTCCATCCCGTATTGTGGATGGTTTTTTGGCACACGTGTGGCCTGTCTCTGCAACTATACCTATTGAGAGATCCTGGAGGGCAGGGAACATGTGTTACACAACATCTCCAATCCTCCCCTTTGCAAGCCAGGCTCCTAGAGGCAGAGCCTGAGGCAGGGATTTGGGTGCACAGGATTTATAAGGGAAAAGGAGAGTGAGGAAGGTAAGAGAGGACAGAGGAAAGAGTGGAGCAAGGAGGAGGTCTCAGTTGGAGTCCAGCCTCAGCCTGATCCCAGGGGAGCTCTGGGGCGTGAATGGTCTCACCAAGCTGGTCTCACCTTGAAGCGAGAAGATTGGCCTTCTGTGCCCTTCCATCACTGAGTCATTGGCAACAGGGGTGGGGTTGGGGAGTGTATGTCTTTGTGGAAAAGGGGATCTTACAAGAGCTGGGGAATGGATGCACCGGCCCAGAAAGAGGATCTGGGTGGGTTCCAAGAGTGCCCACAGTTGTCCCCATAGTCAAGTCCACCTGCAGCGAATGCCTGATAATGGGGGATGGTCAGATGGTAATAGCAGCTTTTCATCCCACCTCCAGACCTCCACCAGCCACAGGAATGCACAGGGAATGGCCACAGTGGGGCACTAGGTAGAAACAGATGCTCAAAGTATCTCAACAGCCCTGCCCAAAAAGTAGGCTCACCATCTGCTCAGGGGCTCTGCTGTCTGGAAATCAAGGGACTTCCATGGAAGAATGGAAGCACCCCAAGTTCCTGATATACCACAGCAGCTGAGAGCCTCACTTTCCCCATCTATAAATAGGGAAGATCATGATACCTATGTCTTGAGATTGTTGGAGTATGAGATAAGGAGCTCAGAGGACAGGGCTGGCCAGCTGGCAGGTTTTGTTACTGTTACCATCGTGGGAGTGGAGGGAACCAGTCAGAGCTGTAGGTTCTGGTCTTGGCTCTGCTACCTGGTAGCTGGGTCTTTTTTTTTTTTTTTTTTTTAAGATTTTGTTTATTCATGAGAGACACAGAGGGAGAGGCAGAGACACAGGCAGATGGAGAAGCAGGCTCCCTGCAGGGAGCCCGATGTGGGACTCCAGGATCATGACCTGAGACAAAGGCAAGAGCTCAGCCACTGAGCCACCCAGGGGTCCCCTGGTAGCTGGGTCCTAGGGGATACATTGCTTAACTTCTGTGAGAGGAATGTCTTTGCTAAAGTAGGAAGAATGGTAACTACCTCCAAGGATGATGGTTTTGAGGATTAAATGAGGGGACATTCAGACAGCCAGGCCCAGTCACAGGGGTTGAGTAGATGGTGGTGACTGGCAGTCTAAAGATTGCCCCTGAACTAAAGTGTTTTGTCCTAGAGGAGACAGGCAAGCTTGAGGTCAGATCCCCTCCCACATCCAGTATCTCTGGGGCCTGAGGCAAGTTCCTAAACTCTAGACATCTTCTTCTTGTTAAATGGTGGTAATAACAGTACCCCTCTCACTAGGTTGTTGGGAGGAGTTGGTGAAAAATACGCACATCAAACACTTAGGGCCTGGCATAGATGAGGCATTCAAGACGGCCGCCACCCCATCATCATCATCATCAACATCGCTTCTTAAATTCAGCATTCCCCCAATTTGGCCGACTTCAACACCTGCAATATCACTTAACTCCTTTTAAAATTAGCTTTCTTTTTCAAGGGAAATTTCAGTCTGGCCATAAATGGAAAAATCCAATCGCTTGCCATAAAAAGACTCACGGTAAATATAAACCCCAAATGCCGTGGAATTACAGCTGATGAGGGTGCCTAAGAAAGGCTCAGCTTTCAAGGCAGTGCCCTGGGGGTTCCAAGGACATGCGTCGGACCTTGAGGCAGGCAGCTCCAGGTGCTGTCTTCCACTTTAACCAAGGTTGAAAGGTGACAGGAATGGCAGGGATCTGGTTGCTTAACGTGGTGTCAGGTGCCACCTGAAGCATCGCATTAGTTCACACTGCCCTGAGCCCTGCGTGGAGGGGCTCAGGGAGGGGAAGGGGGAGATCGTTGATAGCAATGTGGGGAGGGGGAAGACGAGAGAAAGGGAGTGTCATGGAACCCCACCCAGGGCCTGGAGCAGGTTAGTGCCCCCTGGCACTGAGAGTGAATCGGTGGCAAAGGCAGCAAGACTCCCCAGAGACTGAGGCTGTGAGTGTGTTGGGGGTCCCGGGGGTTCAAGTGGCCGGTGGGGCTTTGCATCACTGACATCACTTAACAAACTTACAAATGCATGCTGTGCATGAGCTTCACACAGCTCACCTCTTTCTTCTGCTCCGAGGGGTGACTCCTTATGTCTTCTTAGGGTGTGCCTCTTGCCTGATGCAGGGTGGGGGTGCCGAGTTCTCAGGGCCAGATGCAACCAGTCCAGGGCCAGAACTCCAACCTGACGGGCTGGTCCTCCCAGGGACAGACTTCATCCCCCCTTACAGAGCTGTCCTGTGACCACTCTGGTTTCCCTTGAGGGAGAGGGAGACTGTGCCACCCACCTTGAGTGGCCTGAGGCAGGGTCCTTTCCTGGCAATTCTGGTGAGGTGGCTTTCCCCCATGTGACCCACTGCTTTTGTCAAGTTACTGTTCCAGCACTGGGATGGAATGCTAATTGGCATTGGGGCACTTGAAATGTGTTTTAACTGACCTCTGCAGGGCCTGGCTTCTTGCAGACTTGTTTCTGCCAGAGACTGTGCTACAGTGTCCTAACCCAATCAGTGGACATGGGGAGTCTGAGGTCTGAATATGGTACCACCAGCAGGGGTCAGGAGAGGACTTTCTAGAAGCCTAGAAGTTGCAGTGACATTTCCTAGACATTAGTCATCCATAGTGTCTCCCACCCAGACTCCCCACTGTCCCCCACATGAACCCCTGCAAATTATGTAAACGAGCAAGTGGGTCAGCACAGCCATCACATGTCAGCACTGACCATGTGCCCCGCACCACACTGGGTACTGTGAGACATGATGACACAGTAGGCCGTGGATGGCCCAGGTCCACCAACAGGCCAAGCCTAGGTTTGGGACTCTAAAGTCTGGTAAAGTCTGTGGATCTAGGCTGGCCAAGGCACCCAGACAAAAGGGGCAGGGGATAATAATCCACATGGGAGCACAAATGCTTATCTGACATCCAAGCTAGAAGGCAGAGTCCAGATGAGGAAAAAGAGTGTTAATTAAATTATGCATTCATTCATTAAACATTTCTTATGTACCTACCCTGTGCTATAGGAGTAAAACAAGACACACAAGAGGTCCCCCCATCACCCACCCAGGGAGCCTGCATTCCCATGGGCACAGAGAGACAATGGACAAGTTAATGAATAAACAAGATCACTTGATTTAGTGGCAAGTGTTATCAAGGAAATGAAGATATAAAGTTGATCTGATAAAGGGCAGAGAAGGGCGGGTGAGCAGGAGGGGATACTGCTGGAGATAGGCTGGTCTGTGGAGGTTTCTCTGAACTGAGATGCATATGGCCGAAGGAGCCAGAAGATGGAAATCCGAGGGAAGAGTGTTCCTGCAGACAGACTAGCAGATCCAATAGTTAGGCAGGAAGGAGGAGTTTAACATGTTTGGGTGCCAGAGAAAAGGCCAATATGGCTGGAGCTCTGCAGGTCAGGATGCCACTGGAGGGGAGACCAAGGTCAGGCAGGGCCTCGAGGATTTCTGTTGTGTTCTAGATGGGTTGGAAGCCCCCCAGAAGCAGAGCAATAGCAAATTCTTCATGGCACTTCCTGTGTGCAAGCACTGTGCTGGGTGCTTTACATATAGTAAAGACTATATAGACTCCCTCAAAGGGGAGTCTCTCAAGCTGCTGGTTTTAACTTCAAAGCAATCACAGTGCCTGTTGGATAGAGGATGGGGAAGGGGGAGGAGGACCAGGGGGGAATCATCTGTACTGGCCTAGGCAGGCAAAGATGGTGCTTGGACCAGGGTGATAGCTGTGGAGGGGAAAGTTACCAGGGACATGGTGGGGAAGGAATCAGCCAAGTCTTGCTGATATAGATTGGATGATATGATGAGGGAAAGGGAAGCCTCATGGAGGACTCCTTGGGGTGCCATTGCCAGAGGCACAGGGCACAGGAGGGAATGGAGATCAAGAGTTCTGTTTTGTTATTACTATTGAGTTGTTGGACTACCAAATGGACATGTCACGGAGGCAGGTGGTTATATGGAAGTCACAGGAAAAGCGGGGTCTTAGCTCTAAGTGTAGGAGTAAGAGCTGAGATATATAGCCCCAGGCAGTGGCTAAGATGACTCAGGGAGAAGACAAAAATAGTGCAGAAAGCCAGGAACCCAAGCCAGGAAGATGCAATTTAGAAGGCTGGTAGGGAAGGAAGGTGCCAATGGGGAAGACACCTGCTGTGGGTCTGCTCAGGTTCTAGGCAAGCACGCAGGGTCCCAGGAAGTTCTCAGAGATAAAGAGAGCAGATAGGTTTAGGTCAACGAGTGGCA